AAAGATTCTATATTTTCCCCTACATGACGTTGACCTTACAACATGTATAGACCTACCAGACATATTTATGTTGGCTCTCTTTTTTCTATAATCTATCAACATACAAACTCTGGAGCCTGACACAGTACTAGTGGGTTTAATGGGCCTCCTCTGAGTAGTTAGACATTGGCATCCATCATCTATCTATCTTTGTCAATGGCCTTCTTGAGCCCACAGGGCTGACACTTTCCAATTGTTTTCATGAGATGCTCTATTCCCTCCATCTCTTATATCTTTGCTGGTAGCATCGAGTCCTAATCAGCTCCAAACTTTCGGATCAATTAAACAAGGTACATAGTCAAAAAAATCACTTGACAGGTATGGAACTTGTTGATAGGGACATGAAAGTTCTCTAAATTAATCACGCGAGCCAATGACAAAACTAGAATCAGCTAGGGGCTAACATTGAGGTTGAAATTAGTGGTTATATTCAACCTTAAACGGGTACGATCCAAATGGGTCAATCTAGCTGACCCACTTAGGGTCACATTCATTATAAAGCATTGACCTGCTTGACCCAAACTTCATGCTTAATTGCTTGACTTGAAATCAGCTCAGAAGGTTAAACGTTATTCTGTTGTGCTATCCAAATTAAGAGTTTTAATCCTACACTTTTACCGTTAGTCTGTTCTCCATGAATAAAACATATTTTAGATAACCATTGTAACAAATTTACATGCATATGGGTTTTATTCCCTAAATGGTTAGCTGCTACAAAGAATTACTAGGGTCCTACCAATTGATTGTCACTCATAAAAATTTACCTCATTCGGAAGGGTGTGAATACTAGATATAGATCCGGTTTCTTATTTGATCTAGTCCCTTAATTAAGGGTTCAAACCTGATAATCCAATAGTTATCACCTTGCTTAATTTACTTAATTCTAGCTAAATTATCCTTTCTATTTCAGGAAATATTTGGATAACAGTATTGGTAAATACCTGATAAATTATTGGATTTGGATCCCCAAATGGATCCTGGAGTCCCAATGGTTTGATCTGCAAGTAAATCACATGGATTTACTGGAACTTCTAGGATTCTACCACAGGCAACTCCTTGATTTTCCCTTGTTCAGGACTTTATGCTGTAATAAACCTGGTTCCTGTCCAGTAAATCCGATATTATCACAATAAAATAACACAGGGACAAATAATAATAATAGTAGTAATTCTTATTATTTGACAGAAGAAACACAGTAAACTACTGTGTACACACAATACTAAATCAAGTGTAATGTATGTGTAAAGGGTTTAGCTAATACCCAGTATACATCATGGCAAAAAAATTAATTCTGGCCATCACGTGAAGTCATTTATACTTGTGTGCAGATTATTATCAGGTTTGCTATGAGTTTTTTTGGTCCATAGCATGAAGTCATTTATACTAGTATGCAGATTATTATCAGGTTTTCTATGAGTTTTTTGGTTAAGATGTTGTCATATTCAATCCAATAAGACATATCAGACTGCAAATCAAAATTAATTTCAATCGATTGTATTAGGTCGTTGCTCATCTGCAACAACCCTAGTTGGCAATTGCTTTTTGAACATTTGTACCCAGGACGTACAGGGCACAAGAATTTAAGATTGAAACTTAGAAACTAACATATGGTGGTCGTGGGGGTATAAGAACAAAACCTTAATGCTGTGAAGAAGCTGACGATGCCTCGTAAGGTTATTATATTGCCACCAATTGCATATTTCTTGAGAAGCATGAATAAGAAAACTTTCCATGTAAGAATTTACCGTAACTTTATTATACGTTTCCATTATTTTTTATTTTCTGATCCCTAGAAAACATCAGGTCACTTTTTATACATATATATGTGCAAAAATTAAAGAGAGATGCTTTTGTAGAACCTGCATGCTGAACTTATTTTTTTTGGTACAAACTATTATCACATCTGTGCATAACTGCATATATTGTATGAAGTCTATATACCTGACAATAACATTTTTTTTTTGCGTTGATTGCTGGCAGCTGTAATCCATCCATTTGCAGAACACATTGCATATTACATTCTTTTCTCCATTCCATTCTTAGCAACCATCTTCAGTGGAACGGCTTCTATTGCAGCAATCGTTGGCTACATTGTCTACATTGACTTCATGAACAACATGGGCCACTGCAATTTCGAGCTGGTCCCAAAATGGCTCTTTCGTGTCTTCCCCCCTCTCAAGTACCTAATGTACACTCCATCGTAAGTATAATAGACAACGAATTTTGAAACATAAGCAAGTTAATTTGAAAATTAAAATTTGCCAGATAAGGTTCACTCAGATGTACATTTAATTTAATACCGACAACTCTCCCTGATTAATTTGTATGCATGAAAAGGTCACTGCTGAGCAATAGCATGTGAATGCTACAGTGATGCGGAAGCCAGCCTACAAGATTACTTATCATAAGAGTCAATAAATTCTCCTGATTAAACTCGCAAAAAACACGACTTTTATAATTCCTTACTATGTTTTCTAGTACTTAGAGGGTTTATCTGCCTTTCTCCAATGCAGCTTCCATTCTCTCCATCACACACAATTTCGGACAAACTATTCCTTGTTCATGCCATTCTATGACTACATTTATAAAACAATGGACAAGACATCTGATGAATTGTATGAAAGCTCACTGCAAGGAAAAGAGGAGGCACCAGATGTTGTTCACCTTACACATCCTACTACGTTGCAGTCAATTTACCATCTACGACTAGGATTTGCCTCGCTGGCATCAAGACCTTACAGCTCGAAGTGGTACATACTGATTATGTGGCCAATGGCAGGGTTGTCCATGGTATTGGCATGGTTCTATGGGTCTTCATTCACTGTTGAAAGGAATAAGTTAAAACATCTCAAAATGCAAACTTGGGCAATACCCAGATACAATTTCCAAGTAAGAGACATGATTATTTTCAAGTAGCTTTTACTTTTTGTAAACTGAAGTTTTTAAATTGGTCTTCAAACTTTTCTCTGAGCAGTATGGCTTATCATGGGAAAAAGAGGCTATCAATAATTTGATCGAAAAGGCAATTTTAGAAGCTGATGAGAAAGGAGTTAAAGTGATGAGCTTAGGACTCTTAAATCAGGTAGCATCTCTAATCAGTAAAACCATCTTTAGCAATAAGAGATATTTCAATAGGGTTAGGCATCCTAAAGAAAACTCTCTTAGTTTTCCTTGCATTTTCTTTAAGTGTATTTATTAACTGAGGAAGTAGTTGATTTTAATTCTCTATTTTCCCGTTCTTCAAAAACTTTAAAAGGTGGGTTGTTACACCTGCAGCTAAAGAGATGCTATAGATCAAGAAAACTTGACAAAATGTAAACTGAAAAAAGAGAAATGAAATAATAAAAACAATAAAAATAGTTTAGACAAAGGCTAATGCTTGCGGAACTGAAATCTCAAGTAACCATTGTCCTTAAAGCGCATAATTATCTGGTCCTATAAGAACTGCTCCATGTAAATGCTATTAAATTTCTAACCATGCCTTTTACTGCAATGACAACCTAATCTCTGCTTCCAGGCAAAAGAAATAAACTGTGGTGGTGACATTTATCTTCAGAAGTACCCAAAACTGAAGTTAAGGATTGTAGATGGAAGTAGCTTAGCAACAGCTGTAATTCTCAACAGTATTCCCCAAGGGACAACCCAAGTTCTTCTTAAAGGAAAACTTTCTAAGGTTGCTTTTGCAACTGCGCGAGCATTGTGCAAGAAAGGTGTTCAGGTACATATAAATGTCCCACACAGAGAATAAATATCTCTTTGGGGTGTTAGTCAATTTGGACATTTTCATGCAAAATGGGATAATTGTTAAAGTGGAATAATTTTTTTCTAGTGGGATATTTTTGTGGGATAAACATGAACAATTTTGTGAAACGGGATATTTTGATAAAATAACATGGGATAAATTTTTATAATCATGAAATATATATTTATGCATTTTGAAGATATAAATACTATTTATGTATTTTAAACTTACTATTATTGATAATTGCTTACAAGAATGTTCTTTACTATTTTAAATAACTTTTGGTTAGACTATAAGATATTGACAATTATTATTATAATGATGGTCTAATGATGGTGATAACCATAATAGGAAAGAAGTAAAGAAATAACAAAATAAATATGAGTTTTAGTTTTTTACCACCTAGTTCCAAGCTAAAACTTGGAATAATTTGAGAGACTAGAACTCTCATTTTTGTATAGAAAAATAAAAAAGTGGGATAATTTTGTACCATTATCCCAATTCTAGTTTTGTTAGAGTTCTACTTGACTAACACTGTAAAATTTTGTTCTAGTTTTAGTTCTATGTGACTAACACCTTAAAAATTTATCCCACATATTATCCCAGTTCCAATTCTAAGTTCTAGATGACTAACCCCCCCTTGGAGAATGTGGCTATTGATTTGGCAAATTTGACTGGTAAATTTTGTTTGTGCTAATTGTTTATTTGAATTAGGTACTATTAACACACAAGCATGAGCTCGATTCACTCAGGTCACGTATCTCAGGAAGTGCAGCAAGTTATTTATCACTCTCAAGCACTTCATACCCTCAGGTAAAAAGAGCCACTTTCTGTAACAGAAGAGTGTATAATATGCTCTGGATTCAAATTTAACTAAAATTTACTGTAATGAAGTAAAGAACACGAGTTAACATTGTAATAACAAAATTGCAGGTCAGACAAAACTATCGATGGAAAAATATATTAACAGAAGTTTATAACACTGTGATGCCTCTCAGGTGTGGCTGATAGAAGACAAGTTAGATGATGCTGAGCAGCGGAAGGCACCAAAAGGCACACATTTCATTCCGTTTTCACAGTTTCCTCCAAAGAAAATGCGCAGGGATTGCATTTACTATAAAACTCCAGCGATGAAGATTCCAAAGGCCTTGGAAAACATGCACTCTTGTGAGGTAACCGAACTATTTCAAAATGCTTACAAGATGCTATAATGCACATGTCGACTCTGAATC